CTCGTAAATGATTGACACTAAACTTCATTCCGCTCTTATTTCTTGGGGAGTCTTGTTTTTCACACTTACTATTGGAGATTTGTTAGACAAATATACTACACAAAAAATTACTTTAGCCCAAAATTTCTTGGGCATATTTTTGACCTTCAATATATTTTTAGTCATATTAAGAATAGTTCTATCATTTCTCTCCGCAACTCTATTTTATTATGATGATCTTAGAACTATTAAAGGGTGATGAATTCTATTAGATTCACAAAAGTCATAGAATTCTTTAGAAGTGAATTCACCATATCTATCAGTTCTCAAAGATTTTATTCACAACCACAATCTTTCTCTACAAGAGTTTTGAAAGTTTTAAAAGCAATAAAAATATATGATTTTTGCTTTAAAAAATACACCTAAGTCTTCTTACTAAAATCATCAATAAATAGTACAAAATGTTTATTTTTACCAAATGAAGGTAGATTGATTGGTCCACACATATTGGCATGCACAAATTGAAGTCGCTCGGTTGCTTTTGTAGTGTTTTTTTTAGATAACTCCTTTTTAAGTGCTTCCTAAATAGACACGTTTCACTCAATTGATTATAATGGTTGATCAAAGGCATCCCTCTCACCATTTTTCCTTTTCCCATTACCTTGAGTGCACCAAAGTTCAAATGATTAAATCTCATATGTCAACATCATGTTTCATCTTCCACACTAGTCTTTAAACATCTTGGTTCAATAGTTTTGAGATTCAAGATAAATATTCTATTTTTTAACATATGCACCTTAGCAATCAAATAATCACTTTGATATCTAAACCAAAAACAATTATCTTTCATGTGAATTTTATATCCCTTTTCAAGAAGTTGGTCCAAACTCAAAATATTACTTCTCAATTTTGGCACATGATAAACATTAATAATAAGTACATGCCCACTATTTTTTGAAGAAATTAGTATTATACATCTCCCTTAAATTTGGACTTTTGAAGAGTCTCTAAAAGAAACATTTTTCATTGATCTTTTCATCAAGCTCCACAAATGTTTCTTCGTACTCGTACATGTAATTTCTTGCTCCATTATCTAAGTACCATAAACTATGGTTATCATTATCTCCATCTTTATATATTAGCAACAAAGTTGTTTCGACCACCCTATCTTATTTATCATTGACAAAATTGACTTGTTCCCCTGTTTCATTTGAAGTGTTATAACATTCCCAAGCATAATGGCCATATTTATGACAGTTATATCATTCAATATTGGACCTATTATACTTTATATATTTACCTCTTCCACTTCATTTTCCACATCCTCTACTTGATTGTTGGCTTTTATCTTCATTTTCGGCATTATTTTGAGTGTCATTTCTTTTAGACACTTGACCACAACAACGACCATGTCTTCTACCTCTTCCTCATCCTCTTTGCCTTCCACTATCATTCAAAGAGACATTTGATTTGAGTATTTGCTCCAAAGGCTTTTCTTGTCTTCTTTTTATTTTTATCTTTATGAGATTGTAGTGATCTCTCTAATTACTCAAACGTCAAAGTATTTAGATCTTTTGACTCTTCAATGACACATACCACATAATCAAATTTTGATGATAAAGATCGAAGAATTTTCTGCACCATATGAATGTCTTCCATCATCTCATCATATCTTCTCATTTGACCCATTGTAAACTTTACTCTTGAGAAAAAATCTGAAATGGATTCAATATCCTTCATTCGCAAAGCTTTAAATTCGCCTCGTAAAATTTGAAGTCGCACATTCTTCACCTTGTCAACTCACTGGAGGAAATTCTTCAAAATCTCTCAAGCTTGCTTTGTGTTGGTAGCATCGACCACCTTTAAGAACATATATTCATCCAGACCTTGATGGATGAGAATAAGGGCTTGTTGATCCTTCTTCCTTATTTTTGCTGAAACATTCTTCTTATTTTGAGTCAAGAAGGCTTCATCTTTGGGCAGAGTAAAACCTTTCTCTGCAATATCCCATGCATCTTGTGAGCCCAATATGGCTTTCATGCGAAGACACCAACTCTCATAATTTTTTTTTAAGACGAAGAAATTGTAAGGAAAATAAATTATTATTAATCATCTCTCTAGAATTTTAGAATCAAGAAAATAAGAAACTAAGCTCAAATACCACTATGTTGGAAAGTTTGAAGAGATAGACTAGCTCAATATAATTCTTTATTAAAATACGAAAAAGAAGTAAGAGAGAGTAATTGAGATACTCAAGTTTTCATTTGTGGTTGATACTAAAAACTTTTAAGTATATGAGTACACATAGGTACTAATACAACTCTTAAAATTTTAAATACATGAATGATAATTATGAACCATAACTACCTAGGAAAACTCAAAAAGACTCGTATTGAAATCTAATTCATGAATCATAACTTACAGAAAATTAAAAGACACATTTATATCCTTAACTCCTTATAAGATAAAAAGTCCCCAAATTATTATTTTAAACTCTTTAGTTAAGTCTTGTTGATTTCTAAATTATCATCTTTAACTCTTTAGAAGATAAAAAGTATCATCAACTCGAAAATTATTATTTTTAATAGATGATAGAAACTAATTTATATTTTTTTATGAGTAATTGTGCAATTACATGGAGTTCTAAGAAGCAAGTCATTATTACATTATCAAGTTGTGAATATGAATATGTGGTGATAACTTCTTGCACTTGTTATGTCACATGACTTAGAAGTTCGTTGAAAGAACTTCATTGACATAAGAGGAAGCTACTAAAATGTTTATTGACAATAAGTTTGCACAAGTAAATGACAAAGAATATAGTACTTCAAGAACTAACATCGATATTATTAATATACATTGTCTCACCTATTCACCCACCTTATACCAAAGCCCATGAACCCAAACATTTTATTTATAAAGTTTCAACTAATAGAGTCTTATGATTTCCCATAATCTATCTTAAAGACTAAGCTTTAATGTTCATCTAAAAGATTAATGATTTCATGGGCTATTAGGAGAATTAGTTTATTTTATATAAAAGAAAATCGGGTCTCCAAAATAAAGGTATTCATGAATCCATTCAATCTCCTAGTAAGGATTTTTTTGATAATTTTTTATATAAACCTATTAATGAGATTAACTTAAAGTTCCTGAGATTTGTTGGATATTTTCGCATTTTGGAATAAAAGGTATGAAAGAGCATTAACATATTTCATAAATCTTCCAATTTCATATAACTTTTTTGAAAAAGCCATGAAATCATTCTTTAAAATTAATTTGTTTTTGATGAACTTAATGTTGAAACTGTCATATACAAGTGTTTGATTCATATCATCATCTTATATTACTAACTAGTTCTTCATTTGAAAATCTTGCCTCCAAAAGATGTGTTTGGTTCTTTAGAATAGGTTAGGAATCTAAAGCCCCTAAACAAGCACATGGCGTTATTTTCTTCTTAAAATGAGACATAAAGTGCACTTCTATCTCATCTTTCACTTGTTGGGTTAGACAAACACATTTCTTTCCCTCGTTAAAAATGTTAACTTGTTATTTCTTCTTCTCATCACTACTTGGTTAAAAGGTCTTGTATTCATATCACCTTTGTTTAAACATGTTATACTATAATGGATTCTTCGTGTTATACTATAGTGCATTCTCTATTCTCTTGTCTTTAATCAGCATTAGGTCTATAACTTCCCATTTTGATCTCTTCAGTACATAATTAACCAATCTAAGGCACTCATTGCTTGCATTATTCTCTTAGTTATATTGCTCAGCTCATCATTCTACCATGATTAGATATCATTTGTCATCCTTTTCAATTCAGTAGCTGTCTTAGAGTATACACATTTAAACAAATTATACTCAATCTAAATATTCTTACAACATTGGTAAGTATTGTCTCCTTAATCATGGAGTATATAACCTAAAAATTTTTTGTCCCTAATTTATATTTAATAATGCCAGCCCCATTATGCAATGGTCTAATATTACATTTTTGATACCAAATTGGTTTGAAAAATAAAAAAAGTCAACGATAATCAAAAGTTAGTTCAATTTACCAACTGTTGGTAGTTATCTATCTTAATTATCAATTGTTGGTAGTTATATGTTGTTGAACTAAGTACAGGATCACTACCTAATGGTTAAGTCTACCAACTCCAAACTCTTAAAAAGTTCAATGACGTGATCATTTCCTCCTCTTTAATGTCTAACACCTATTTTTTCTGTAACTTTTAGTATTGGGCATTGAGTTGCCTTATAAACATAAGCTAAAGATAGGCTAAATGAAACCCACACTCACTCTCTCGCTACCAACTTACACAGGCCATACTAATTCACAATAACACACTAATATTAAACTAGAGCACTCATCCTTTTAATGAAATAAAATTTAGTGTTATTGCCCTCTCATTTATCTTAAAAACATTTTAAAGATATGCATTTACTTGAATTTTATCTAAGTTTATTTTACTTTAGATAATCATCTTAACATGAATAGGAATTTAAGTAGCGAAGAGAAAAGATACACAATAAAGAAACAAATTAGTAAAATAAAATTATTTATAAGTTTTTGTTAAAGACCAAGTTAGTGCAAATAGGCAGGAGTGTATTTAAGAGCAAATTCTGAGCAAGTATATATGCATATATACGCTTAAAAATGCGTAAGAAAATAATTTTTTTTAAAAATAATAAAATAAATATTCAGCATATTTAGGTAATTAAACATATATATAAATATATTTATGTATAAATCTATTTTAACAAGCACATAACATTAGTTAGTTATATTCATTTTTATTGAGTAATGTCCTCCATAATTCCTCTGAGAAATCTTTTAATCTCTAGTTAAAAATTTTGCTTAATAGATCTTTTTTTTTTTTTTTTTCCTGGAACAGGGATGGAGTAAAAATGATAAAGTTGTTATCTCACGTTTTTACTCTAAGAATTAATCTTGACTCTTGGTTCTTTAGTTTACATATGCTTTTTTTTTTTTTTTTTTTAAAAAAATTTTACAGTGGTGTTATTAAAGGGTGGAATGACTCTCCTGATACTGTTTTGCCCATCTTAAAGAAACTCTTGAATGCTGGTTTACGCATCTGGGTATATAGGTAAAAGTTCAAGAAACATATATATATATATATATATATGGTTAAGGTTTATATAACATATATATATATATATATATAAATTGATGCAGTGGTGACACAGACGGGAGAGTGCCAGTAACATCAACAAGATACAGTATAAACAAGATGGGAGTAAAAGTGAATGAAGAATGGAGAACATGGTTTCACAAGAATCAAGCGGGTGGTTGGGTAGAAACATATGAAGGCGGTCTCACCTTAGCCACCGTGCGGGGTGCAGGCCATCAAGTTCCTCTCTTTGCTCCCCAACAATCCCTTTCTCTCTTCACCCATTTTCTTCATAACAATCCTTTGCCACTTTCTCGTTTCTAGAACTCATTATTTCAAACTCACTACTCATTATCTGCTCTCCAGCCACTAATACTGTAAACATTTTTCTAATGTATTATATACATATACGCATAAGTTAATTGGTCATCTCTTTATTTTAGCATCTTTTTAATGTATTGTGATGGATGAAGTTGTTTTATTGTAAGAAAATTTTATGCTCATGCAATGGATGAAACAAAAAAAAGAAAAAAAAAATTCCACAAGAGTTTCTATACAATGTAATTTGAGATGAAGTTTCTTTTTGCCTAGAAAAGCTCTTATATGTTTCTTTCGGCCTAATATGGATCTGGTTGAGAAAGATTTGGCATTGAGATTTCATATAATTCTCATTTATTTTCTTAAGTTTTTGATTTACACGGAATCATGTATTTTCGAGTCAAGTTGTTTCTCTAAATAATTTTGCTATATTACATCCATATTATCCCATAATTTTAGTATAACATATGTGAGTGTTAATATTTATGTTTATACATGCGATAAAGGAAAAAATTATTATTCAAAGTGAGTTTTAGAATAAAAAAAATTCTATTAAAGAATCAAATATTGAGTTATTGACGCTAAAGACATGATATTAAGTACTAAATTTCATCACGGTGGGGGCAATATGACTTTAAAAATATAGACTAAACTTTTAATATAATAATATTTAAAAGTTTACAATAATTAAAACTAATAAATTAATTTTTTATATAATCTTGTTTGAATTAAAAAAATAATTATTACAAAAATTTAACTCAAGAATTACTTGATTTTATATGTTTTTATTAATATAAATTGATTACGAATAAACGCAATCCATTCTCAATTATAATAATAAAGTGTCTTGTCTCTAATTTAATAATATAATATAATAATTTATGGCAATAAGAATGAATTATAATAAATTATTAATAAGTAATTTACCCTCTAAATTAATTTATTACTATTCCTAGTAATTAAAAAAAGAATTAATAAAAATTTTGAACTCTAAATTGTATAATAAGGTGGTCAAAAGATTTCTCAAACTATAGAGGTAACCATAATATGCTCATATTATAATCATAACATTTTGCTGAGTGTTAACATATCCTTTAACTATAAACATTATAAAACCATGGTATATAAATATAGAGAAGATAATATTTAGGTTTACCTTTCTCTTATCTTATATTGATTTTAAGTCTTATAGTATTTGTTAATTTAAAATTTAAGAAGTACCAATTTGTTCATTTTTTGCATTCCAAATTAAATCCTTAAATCAAACCACATAAAGAAATACTAACAAAAAATTTACCCACTAAACTTATAAAGAGAATTCTAAATAGTAATAATAATAAAATTCTATATTATACTTAAAAGAAAAACAAAAAAAATAAATAAATAAATAACTACCGAGAAAACCTCGTCTCTGTTTCCCACCATTTTCACCCTCTTTCTTGCTTCTCGTCGCGTCAAATTTTTGACCCAGAAAATCTCGCTGCTTTCTCCTCCTCCTTTGCCCACAATACCAGAGGGGTAAGGGGAAGCTTTGATTCTGTCTATGCCTCCCCAAGTCGCTGCTGCTCACTGGTTTTCTCTCTTGTAGCGCCGCAAACTTCTGTTCACTGTCACTGAACCGCTTCTCCTCTCCCTTTCAGCATTCTGAAGAGCAATTTTCTCACGCCTGGGAACACTTTAATTCACCTTAAGCAGAGGAACCTCTCTGCAACTGTTCACAACCTACAGTCCTTCAGACATTGCTAAAGCTCAATTTGGATCTTCAATCGGAGGCAGGTTGACATCACGTCAGGACGATACTGCAGTGCCTTTTCGAAGAAAAAGCTCTCCGGCTATATAAAGGAGGTAAGGTTTATAATCCTCTGAGTTCCTTTGTTCTGGATATAAGTTTGATTCCTGCTGTTGAGAAAAGATTCATCAATTTATATTCCTTGATTTGTTGCTGGTCTGTTCTTTTTCTAGAGTGGTATCTCTTTTCGTTTCTGATGTGAATCTGCATATGAATACTTATTTGGTCGTTCCTCGACTGGGTATTTGGATTTTGAGTTGTAGATGACTCTGGTTCCTTCTTAGCATGCTGTCTCCTGTTAATTTTCTATGAGAGTCCTCAGCTAAGCATTTTAGGTTATTTTTCAATCTGATTTTCAGGTGATTCGTGGTCGTATTTTTGAAGTATATTTGGATACATGGTTGAATTAATTTTCATTGGGATGATTGGCTAGATGCATAAAGGGATATTATAGTATAGTTTCATATGTGGATAGAAAGGCTGAATTTTGTCATTTTTTCTGTTAAAAGTCCGTAATCAGCTTTTTAAAAATGGGTTCAAATATAAATGATATGGAGAACTCCTTCAATTTGATCAGGAATTTTGTGCTTCGTCTTCATACATTCTGTTTAGCCATTTTGGTACGTGCAGAATAGTCGATTTTCTCGTAGATTTGCGGGTGAGTTGGTTTATGTGTGGAAAAAATAGTTTTGATCAACTAGTGAATTGTTCCGTGATGTTTGGAGTCAGTCCTCTTATGTTTAGATTGAGATATTGAAATTTTTGAACTTATCATGATGGATGTTTGTTGATTTCTTTGTATGCAAAATTGGACGCATCCTTGTTTGGTATTTTGGTCAATGGTTGATAACAATGCCTTTGCATCATATTTCTTTTTGCATTTCATCTTACTCTCACTTTTGGATTTCTTTCCTTCTTTCCTCCCTTCCTTCCTTCCTCCCTTCCTTTTCCTTCTATTTTATTTGGATGTATTTAACTTTCCATCCCAGTTGTGGCATTGAAATATTAAATTTTATCTTTTTTGTAAATTTTAATTTTATTGATGTCATGTGCACGTAAACATATAGCTAGAACACTCTTTACAGGCCCCAATCAAGAATCCATTAGGTTTCTAATACTTTCTGACCTTGTAACTAATTTCTCTTTCCCATTCTCTGTTTATACTAGTTGTGTTTTAGCGTTGTACTCTGGTTTGATATATGTTAGTGGCAATTCTGATTTGTTTTTATCTTTCAGGCAACTAATACGTTGTTAATAAAATTTGTGGTTGTTATAGAAAACATTGAGCACTAGGAAGAGCAGAACATATACTGGGGCACAAGAAAGTCTTGGCTGCATTTCAATGGCATCCTTATTTAATAAATTTCAAGAGGTATCCTTTTCTCTCCCTCTCTCTCTCTCTTTTCTTATTTTGTTCACTGGTACAATCAACCTTCTCAGTTCCTCATTCTCTTTTCTATAATTTCATAGACCCAATCCTAGTTTTTATTAGAATTGGCGATTGAGACTCACGACAGCGTTCCCCTTTCCACCAAGCTAGAAGCTCAAAACCAGCACCAAACCACCACTGTGATGCCATCAGCTGGTCACCGGAGTTTCGCTGTCTATTGCAAACCATAAACGTGATATTGTTTCACCTCCTTGTACTATGCATTGACTGCTGATCTCTGGTGCACCCAGCTAGACTGTTCCCCTTGCAAAGAACTGTCGTGACTCCAAATAACATTATAGGGATCAATTTTTCATTAATGTTATTTTGTCGTTTACTTTGCAAGGAAATGAATTAAAAAATAAAATAAAATGAAAACCCTTTATAAATGGTGATTTTATGATTCATTTGGTTGGGAAGGCATGACAAGATTGTAATGTAGTAATTATTCAATGGTAATTAAAAGGTTATAATGAAATTGTAAATCCATTACATCTTGATTAACCAACTAGGAATAATTTGTTGCAATCTTATTACTATATATTTTTTTTATTGTAATGAGAGTGAAATAGAATTATAACTAGCTGTAAATAACTATGTTATTTTTTTATTATGTTTGGTTGAAGATATATTTTAATGAATTTTTATAATTACATACTACAATGGTTAATAAAAGAAATATTAAAACAAATAGGATACTGAATATTAAAAACAATGAATTCCTAATGCAAAACTGTAATAATAGACTCTTAATTGTATAATAATTTTACATTTAAAAGAATTACAATTCCTAATCTATTTAGGCATAATCCATTTTGCATCATTCTTCCCCTAATTGGAGAAAACTTGTCTGCAAGTTTTGAAGTGTCATAATGTAAAAACCTTGACCTTCGAGTTTGCCCCTAAAAATTTGGCATTCTTTGTGTTTGGTCGTTCACGTCAGTACTTGAAATACAAATGTACAATTGTTTAGGAGTGTGAAATCTTGGTGGAATGATGAAATCAACATAACGACCAATTGGTATGTAAACCTTGTTGCATGGAACTTCCATACAGTTGATTCTTGGGGAAAGATCTTGAGCAATAGGAAGAAATAGTGATTCTTCGTACTCTTCTACTTTGGAGTCTGATAATATACACATTAAAAAAAAGAGGTAGTTCCTTGTCCAATAGGAGCTAAATCATCGTCCTTGTAGGATACATAACCATAATCTCTTCTTTGCACCTCTTTTTGTTTCATTCTAACAAAAAGAGTTATTCTTCTTTAGGCATTCGTAGCTCATGTGTCTACTTTGTTCATATATGAAGCAAGCGATTTCTTTACCTTTTTAAGGAGTTTTGGAAATTGATGTTGATGCATTCTTCAGCTCATTTTTTGATTTAGGGTACTCTTAGGAGTGGATTCCATGACTCGAAACACAAAGTTTCTTGGAATTGGATATTTCAATTGTTCTTCCACATCAATGACAGCTTGGTTAGTTTACAGTATGGTTGCAGGAGCTTGTTGAATTAACTCTCTTTTAATATAACTTCTTAATCTTGCTTTGAGTAGAGATGGTTTCTTGTCCAATTGAAGCTAAATCATTGTCCATGTAGGATACATAACCATCATCTCTTCTTTGCACCCCTTTTTGTTTCATTCTAACATGTACATTATTCTTCTTTAGCCATTCGTAACTCATGTGTCTACTTTGTCCATATCTAAAGCAAGCAATTTCCTTACCTTTATAAGAAGTTTTGGAAATCGATGTGATGCATTCTTCAGCTCATTTCTTGATTTAGAGATACTCTTAGGAGTGGATTCCATGACTCGGAACACAAAGTTTCTGGGAATTGGATGTTTCAAATGTTCTTCCACATCAATGACAGCTTGGTTAGACTACAGTATGGTTGCACGATCTTGTTGAATTAACTCTCTTTTAATATCACTTCTTAATCTTGCTTTGAGTAGAGATAGTTTCTTGTCCAATAGGAGCTAAATCATCGTCCTTGTAGGACACATAACCATCATCTCTTCATTGCACCTATTTTTGTTTCATTCTAACATGTAAGGTGAATTCTTTAGGCATTCGTAACTCCTGCGTCTGTGTTGTCCATATCTAAAACAAGCAATTTCTTTACCTTTATAAGGAGTTTAGGAAATTGAAGTTGATCCATTCTTCAGCTCATTTTTTGATTTAAAGGCATCCTTAGGAGGGATTCCATGACTCAGAATACAATGTTTCTTTGAATTGGATATTTCAAGTGTTCTTCCATATTAATGAAAGCTTGGTTAGATTATAGTAATTAACTCTCTTTTAATATCACTTCTTAAACTTGCTTTGAGTAGAGATAGTCTTGACTAGCATCTTCGACCAATTAACTCCAAGTTTTTAATTCTTCAAGCTCTATATAGACTTTGTTGAATTTAGCAGCTTATCTGTTGTTTTTGAAGCATATTGTATTTGAGAATTTAGAGAGAGAAAATTTAGTTAGAGAAAGGCGCGAAAACAGAGTAAAAGCATGCAACTGCCTCTGTTTTCGTATGTTGCAGAAGTAAGAAGATAATTGAAGGAGAATTCGATTGATGTTCATTGATGATTGAGTGCTTTAAATAAGTAAGGTTGCAACTGAAAATTCTTATCAGATTAGATAATTTAGATAGGCTGCATATATGCATGCAAATACAACTCTTACGTGATAAGATTATCACGTTTATTTTGAATTCAAAATTTCGAAAAATAAAAGCTAATTCTTATCTAAATCAACACTTCTCCTTAAGAGTTTGCTTCAACTCCCAACTGTGATCTCAGGTCTTCAAACTTGCCTTTCCAACAGCCTTGGTTAAGACATCAGCTAACTAGTTTTTTGAGGAGCAGTGCACAAGCTTTATTTCATGATTTTTCTCAGCATCCCAGATTGCATGGTACTTCATGGTAATGTGTTTAGTTATGCCATGCATGACTGGGTTTTTGGCCATTGCGATGGCAGACTTATTGTTGACGAAAATCTCAGTGGGCAAATTATTTTTCAGCTTCAAATCCTTCAAAATTTTCCTTATCCATATTGCTTGATTAGCTGCGGCAGCTGCAGCTATGTATTCAGCTTCCGCAGTAGATTGAGCAACCACTTCTTGCTTCTTCGATGCCCATGAGAATGCGCCTGATCCAAGTGAGAAAACATACCCAGAGGTGCTTCTTGCATCTTTAACACTCTCGGCCCAATCACTGTCCGTGTACCCTTGTAGAGTACCACCTTCTATTGATTTATACCAGATGCCAAAATTTGCAGTTCCTTTGATGTACCTCAAAATGTGCTTTACAGCAGTTTGATGAGATTTTCTGGGAGAAGACATGAACCTTGACAACAGACTTACAGAGTATATCAAGTTTGGTCTGGTTGCCGTGAGGTACAACAAGCTTCCGATAGTGCTTCTGTGCACATTTTCATCTACCACTTCCTCATCTTCTGCTTTTGATAACTTTGAGTTTTGAATCATTGGAACGGACACAGCTTTACACATGTCTAAGCAAAATTTCTGCAAAATTTCTTTTGCATACTTGGCTTGCGAGAGAAAAATGCCAGCATGTGTTTGTTTTATTTCCATTCCCAGGAAGTAGCAAGCTTCCCCTAGAGCAGACATCTCAAATTGCTTTTCCAGTTGAAATTTGAACTTCTCTATGTTTAATTTATTGCTGCCAGTAACCAAAATATCATCAACGTAAATTGCAACAACTAGCTTCTCACCTTCTACTTCATGTCTTACGTACAAGTTAGCTTCATTCTTGCTTTTTTCGAAACCACAGTAAGTTAGATAGGCGTCGAGTTTTTTATACCACGCTCGAGGAGCTTGTTTGAGGCCATACAGGGCCTTTTTTAGCAGATGGACATAATCTTCCTTTCCAGGTACGCTGAAGCCTTCTGGTTGCTGGACAAGAATCTCTTCTTCTAGGTCGCCATTTAGGAAAGCTGATTTTACGTCCAGATGCATCACTTTCCACTTGAACTGAGCAGCAATTGCCAGAAGCAGGCGTATGGTGTCATGCCTCGCAACTGGAGCAAACATTTCACCGAAGTCCACACCTGCAAGTTGAGCAAATCCCTTGACTACCAGTCGGGTTTTGTATTTATTCACTGATCCATCTGGATTCAGTTTAATTCTGAAAACCCATTTAACCCCGATTGGCTTTTTTCCTTCTGGTTTAGGAATCAGCAACCAAGTTTTGTTCTTCTCGATCATGCTGATCTCCTCCTTCATGGCATCTCTCCAACTCTTATGTTGCACTGCATCTTCAAAAGAGGTAGGTTCAGATGCAGCAAAATTGCATCTTTCATATATATCTATTAAGGCTCGGAATTTAGTTTATGAACTGCTTCCTTCATCCCAATTCACTTCATCTTCTTCTTCAGTTTTTCAGTGAGCATTTGGGAGTGCTGGATTTTGGATCTCACTACCAGTACCTTTGAATTCACTATCTGCTTCAATTCTTTTTTCTTCCCAGTTCCAGTAGGTAGATTCATCTACCACAACATCCCTGCGAATTGTCAACCTGTTAGTGTTTAAGTTGAGAATTCTATAGCCTTTTGATTCTGAACCATATCCCAGAAACACTCCCAATTCAGTTTTGTTATCCAGCTTCTTTCTTCTCTCATCTGGAATGTGTGAGTAGCACACCGATCCAAAAATTTTCAGGTGTTGAGTAGATGATTTTCTACCACTCCAGGCTTCATATGGAGTTTGAATCTCAAGAGCTTGAGTGGGCAAACGGTTTAGCAAATATACTGAGATGTTTATTGCTTCAGCCCAAAACTTCCTCGGCAGGTGTTTGTCTGCAAGCAGGCTTCTTCCCATTTCAACAACTGAGCGATTTCTCCTTTCTGCAACACCATTTTGCTGAGGGACATACGAAACACTCAGCTGCCTCTTGATACCATTTTTGATGCAAAAGTTAGTGAACTCAGCCGAAGTGTACTCCAAGGCATTGTCAGTTCTTAAACATTTCACACTTACTTTCACTTTCCTTCTTTACCCAAGCTTTAAACTCCACAAATCGGTTGAAGACTTCACCTTTGCTGTGCAAGAAATAAACCCAACACATTCTGGTGAGATCATCTATGAATAGAGTGAAATACTTACAACGGCTTAATGATTCCTCACTCATTGGGCCACAGATTTCTGAGTGTACAAGCTCAAGCTTTTCTTTGCTCTCCACTGTGTTTGAGATGGGAAGGGTATTCTAGCCATTTTGGCTATTTGGCAAACACCGCATACACCTTCTGTCATCTTGAAAAGAGGCAGGTCGAGACTCATCTGATGAGTCTGCAATTTTTCAAGACCTCCCTTGTGATAGTGTCCATACCTCCTGTGCCAGATTATTCCTTCATTTTGATTTGCCACATTCGCTTCTTTGGTTCTGCCAGATTTAGAGCATACATTTTGTTCCTCAAGGGAATCTCGGCTATGAGTTCATCTTTTTCATTAAAGATTTCACAGAAAGTATGTTTAAAGGTAATGGTGTAGCCATAACTTGTAATTTGGCGTACACTCAGTAAATTTTGGCGTAGGTTAGGAACAAATGATACATCATGTATCAACTTGTTACCTTGTTTTGTGCTTACCAGAACACTTCCCTTACCTTCAGCTCTAACAGCTTTCCCATCACCAAGTTGAATATACTCCTTCATATTTTTGTTCAGATTGTGAAATAGCTCCTCTTCTTTGCACATATGAGCTGTGCAGCCACTGTCGACTACCCGTAGTGCTTTGTTTTCATTAACAGCTTCACTTGAAGCTACAAGGAGTGTATTTGGAGTATCTTCTTCATTTTTTATCATGTTTGCCTGTTGTGGTTCGTGTTTTGATTCCTCCTGCTTCTTTTTGATTCTGCAATCCTTTTCTTTGTGACCGAGTCTCTTGCAAAAATTGCATTTGACAGTTTTTTTTCCCTTTATACCAGCAATCCTTCTCAAGGTGATTAGTTAAAGAACATATTTTGCATGGAGGGTATTTGTTTCGCTTACCTTGACTCTGGTTACCTTGTCGTGAATTTGAGCCTTTATCCTCAATTTTTCTCCCCCGATTTTCAGTTCCAGACTTGTTTCTAGTCTGGGAAATAAACAGTGCTCCTTCTGGATTTATGGTCTCCCTCATACTGGCTCTTTGTTCTTGAGTCTCAAGTTTGTTTATCAGTTCAGCAGCAGTGATTGTATCAGCGTCACTCAATTCCTCTAACACTGAAATTTTTTATTCGAACTTGGCAGGTAAGCTTACCAAAATATGTTCTACTACTCGAGATTCTGGAAAGTTTTCACCGAATAGCCTGATTTTGCTAACAATATCAGAAAGCCGAGAGGCATATTGCCTTATAGGGTCTTCATCTTTCATTCGCAGGGCAATAAACTCAGCATTCAATTTTATAAGTTTTATTCTTCTGCTTCTGTGGCCTCCATCGAACTCTTCTTTGAGCTTATCCCAAGCTGATTTAGGTGTTTTGTAGGGCAAGATCCTACTAAAGACAGATTCTGAGACTGCCGAATGAATGCAGGCCAAGGCGCGAGGTTTCTTTGCTACTTCATCCTCGTGCCTTTTAATTTGAGTAAGAGACGATGTGTTTCTTAGAGGAGGTGGGTCACTGTCATCAATGACTACCTCCCACAAACCCAGAGATTTCAGGTGAATCTCCATTTTCACGGCCCATGAGTGATAATTATCTCCATTGAAGTGCGGTGGAGCTGAAGTGCCAGAACAAGAAGACATCTTGATTGTCTCACAGTCCCTTAAGAAAAACGTTCTGATACCACTGTTGATTTTAGCAGCTTATCTGCTGGTTTTGAAGCAGATTGTACTTAAGAATTTAGAGAGAGAAAATTTAGTGAGAGAAAGGCACGAAAACAGAGTAAAAGCATGCAACTGCCTCTGTTTTCGTATGTTGCAGAAGTAAGAAGATAATTGAAGGAGAATTCGATTGATGTTCATTGATGATTGAGTGCTTTAAATAAGCAAGATTACAACTGAAAATTCTTATCAGATTAGATAATTTAGTAGGCTGCATGTATGCATGCAAATACAACTC